AAGGGGGTCAGCAGAAAAACAGCCGCTAAACGACCCCTATCTTAATCCCTAAGCCCCACACCCTCAAAAACAACCCCAGCCCTAAACCCTAAACCCTAAATCCTAAACCCTTAACCCCAAACTCTAAACCCTCGACTCTAGGCCCTAATCCCCTAAGCCCAAGTCTCTAAACACAATCTTACACCCCCCCCCCTGCATGCTGAGGTGCCCGGGTCGCAGAGGCCGCTCGTTTCGATGATGATCAAATCCTTGGGGTCTAGCGCTTAAGGGTTTAAGGGTTCTGAGGGCTTAAGGTTTCGGGTTTGGGTTTAGGGTTTAGGGTTTAGGGTCTTGAGGGGTTTAGGGCTAGGGTGTATGATGATCAGGTCCTGCTTTCGAGTTTCGGATTGCAGTTCAGAGATTAGAGACTCGGGTTTCGGGTTTAATTATACCATAAGGCTTCCCTTTCCCTTCTGCGGTGTAGGATTGCAGGCTTTTAAGGGTTTAGGGTTTATCGGGTTTGGGTTTTAGGGTTTCGGGGGTTTAGGGGAAGTTTAGGGTTTAGGGTCTTGGTGCACGAAAACGGGCAGCGTACATGACGAAACTAGAGTTCCTCCCACGTCGGTTCGTAAACCAACTGTCCAGGGCGTACGGTTCATCGTGTGTACTATGGAACCCCTACTTATTAGAAGTGTTCTATACAGGAGCCCGAAACCCTATTGTAACTACCAGGGCCCCCGTATCAGGACTTTCCTGGACCCTCCATCTACCCTCAAATTAGACCCCAAGTGCCCATTAGTTGGGACCATATACCCTTGTTTGAGGGCACAAGGAGGGTCCGGCGTCCTGGGTTTGTTAGGACCGTTGAGAGCATGCCTTTGGGCACAGCAAAGGCAGTTTTCAAAGCTCTGAACAGAAGCCCAAAGCTGCTAGAGGCCCCAACTACCCTCGATTATAGCCCTACATACCCACTAGTAAGTATTAAGGACCATAAGGGCTCTATTAAGGGCCATTGGGGGGTCCTGGCTTATCCTAAAGTCGCATTGCAGGAGTCCCTCTTCTGGGATGAATCTTGCGCCATGGGATGCCGAGCCCCTGAGCCGGCGCGTCCAGAGTTCCCGCAAGAGACAAACCGACAGGCATTCGCTTGCAATTCGTGTAGGGCTTTGGCTGAAGAGCCTACCACACAAAGAACCCTAAACCCTAAACCCAAGGTGCGGGCAAGATTTTCGACCTGCTCAGCATGGGCCTCGCATGGCTGAAAGGGTGCATCGGACGGGCTTTGTTAATGAGGCGGGGATCCGATGAATATGGACAGTTTGGCATTTCAGGGTTTAGGGGTTTAGGGGTTTAGGGGTTTAGGGGTTTAGGGGTATAGGGGTTTAGGGTTGAGTGGTGTAGCTTGGCATGTTTATCCGTCTTTTGCCTTATCAAGACATGTCTTCCTAGACCCTCCATCTACCCTCTATTGAAACCGAAGTACCCATTAGTTGGGACCATATACCCCTGTTCGAGTCCTGGTTATAACTCCCCATCCATGGCCGGCAGCGACGGGAATGCCGTGCTCTTCCAGGGTTCAACGGCGACCCTGATTTAGAGAACCAATGTAGGCGCTTTGGTAATTAGAAGGAGGTTTTGGGGCCCATTATACTATAATTGGAAAAAGGAGCCCCCATAGTATAAGTAATTATTAAGGCCTCTACACTACCCCTGCAACAATAGCAAACACAGAACCGAACATAACGTCTAAACTCAACATTCCTTTGTGCCTCAACAAACCATGCATGCTACGTGCGCACATGGCATGTGGTCTTGGGGCTAAGGGGAGTTTAGGGAAGCTGGGCTTTGCTGTAGCAGTAGGGTTTTATAGGGTTTAGGGTTTAGAACTGTAGCATCATCGCCGACATCTTTGTGCACGGCAACTTTTCGTCAATTGATCTGCTTTTCATGATGGGCGTCGACAGTTGAACACGGTCTTGGAGGAAGGGTCCCCTTGAATGATAGGAGTGCTAGCAGCTTCAGGGCACCATGAAGATCTCTTACATAATTTGAATACGGTTACGGGATACTCTATCAAGGGGGACCGTAAGGGGATTGGTATTACTAATACTGTAGCTCTGAGTCAAACCCCGATATCAGGCCCTAAACCCTAAACCCTAAACCCCGATATCAGGGTCTACCGGGGCCTAGCCACACTTCCGCGTCCAGGTCTGCAGGACTTGATCCTCCCGCCTGCAGCAAGAGTCGTAACTGTCGCTCTAGGTCGGCATTCACCTGTGCGGTTTAGGGTTTATAGGGTTTAGTGTTCAGGGTTTAGGGTTTAGGGTTTGGGGATTCTGTGCGGCAGTGCGACTGCCCATTTAGGTTCAGGGCCTTAGGGTGCGATTATCGCATTGAGGAGTCAGTCCAGAATGTATTCAGGGTGTGAGTTTCCAGACCCAGAAAGCCCACAAGCCCTGAATGAAGAACTACAATTCTTTTTAACTATGCCATAAATAGTAGTGAGGAAGAGTAGTGAGGAAGAGTAGTCCAGCTGTACTTCATGGTCTCAAGGAACACGGTAGGCCTCCTAGCCAAAGGTAGAAAAGAAACCCATGGCAAACACAAATGTAAGATGGCATCGTGGGTCGGAAACATGGAGAAAACACAAATCCCATAACCCTGGCCCCCTCTCCGGGCCAAGGCCCTCTTGAGACCCTATGGGCAGTTCTCTAAATTAGGGGTCCCCAATATAGTACGGCACCCCGTATGAAAAGGACCCTAAAACAGACCCTAATTTAGAGAGCTGCCCCACCTACCCATATCGCTGAACCATGCCCAAGCCACTCAACCCAATGGCCAGCATCGTCCGCAAACCTAACCCTAAAAGCTAAACCCTGGCGTTACGGTTCAATCTTGGGGTCGGACAAAGTTATTCGTAGTGGCGTTCCTCCCTTCAGCTGTACTACAATGTACCCTGTTCTAGCTACTATGGCCCCTCTACTGAAGCTTTGGGGTAGTTATTGGCGTGTAGGGAGGTACGTCACTGTACTTAGAGACAGTGGAAAAGGAGCAAGATCGGAGAGTTCAGGCTTGTTTTGGCAGAAGAGCTCCTGAACCCTAAACGCTGAATGAACTCTAAACCCTACTAAACCCCTAAGCCCGGAACCCTAAACATTGAATAAAGCCTTGAACAGCTACAGTTGTAGGTTCCGTCTCGTGAGTTCCTGCTTACTTAGACCACGTCCTTAGATTTTAGAGCCACCCAAACCCCAAAGCCAAACCCCTTTACCCTAAACCCCTCAACCCCAAACCGAAACCCCTATACCCCCAAGCCCCTTAACACTAAACCCAAAACCCCCACACCCCTAAACCCTAAACCCCCGAACCCCAAACCCTAAACCCCTAAACCCTACACGCCCCAGCCGGGCACCAGAACTGTCTTGGGTTTGCGGTTCCTTTAAGAAGCTCAAAACCTCGACCCTACCATAGTAGTTCATTTTTGGGGTTTAGGGTTTAGGATTTGGGATTTGCGGTTTGGGGTTTAGGGTGTAGGATCCTAAATCTGAACCACAAAAAGGAACTACAATGGAACTTCTGGGGATAAGCCCTAAACTCCAAACATGCTTCAAGGTGCAGGGTTAAAGGGGTTACGGGTAGGGTTTTAGGCCCTCGGAGCCTGTGAGGAATGAAGTTTCGAGCCGCAGATCTCACAACCTTTTGGTAATAATATTGCGGCCGTAATAATCTTGAGAGGGCTCCTTTGCATGGTTCCTGTGAGGGCTTTGTAGGGTTTGTAGGTTCATTGTCAGGCCTTGATTTCTAAGGCCTCAATACTTGAACTGGGGTTTGGGGGGTCGGTTACAGCACAAAAATGAGGAAATCAGTCAATAGATAAATAGTAAACACATATATCTAGCCATATGAGGACCCCTAAACCCTAAACCCTAAACCCTAAACCCTAAAACGCGAACAGTATTACGAACGATGTTCAGCCCCATCGGTATTCTACCGGGCGCCTCGCAGCACATGCAGCCGTTGTCCAAAGTGACCACCCTTGCAGGCTTAGGTTCTTAGGCTTTAGGGTTCAGGGGTTTAGGGATTAGGGTTTAAGGTTTAGGGTTTAAGGTTTAGTGTTTTAGGGTTTTAGGGTTCGTTTAGGGTAGGGGAGGGTTTAGGGTGCGTGTAGGGTTTCCCAGGAAACACGAACCCCTCAATAAACGGAGCAGGCAAATATGCCTTAAACCAAAAATTAGTCCGTATTCCAACCAGAAATTAGGTCGTATTCCCGGATCCACGAGTCTCACGTATTTTGGTCTTAGCGCGCGGAAGCCTGTAAGTACAACAGTGTCTCTACGTGGGGTTGTAAGGTGACCCTTGCATCTTCTTCGGCTACCCTGAAACTGGAATACTACCCTATCTAGACCCTCCATCTACCCTAGACCCCAAGTACCCATTCCTATTTGAGGGTCTACCATCTGCACTGCCGTGGACACCTTGTCGTGCACCAGGCGGCCCGTCCCCTGGTCAGTGTACTTCTTCACCTCGCGGTAGAAGTCCACGAGCTGGTCCGAGGGCAGGGAGTTAAAGTCCTGCGGCAGGTCCAGCTTGCCCACAAAAGACCTCAGCCGGTTGCAAAGCTTGCAAAGGAAGCTGTTCTTGGACTTCTGACACAGCTCCAAGAGATCGAAAGTCTGCTGGCACTTGCTGCACCGCCGCACCTCAGTTGGAGCTTCCGCGCTCTGAAGGCTTCTTTGAGGCCCTCAAACCGAGTCGAGCCAGGAATGCAGCGGGCCTCGAACTTTCACCTGTACAGCCCTCAGCTACCGCCTATGCTACTTGTCGCCTAGATGCCCCTATTAAAGACCATAAAGTCTCATTAACGGGCACTTGTGAGTGTGATGCTCTAGGGTTTTGCGGTTCCTGATTATCGTTGCAGTAGAGTATCCCGGCCCCCCACCCTAAACCCTAAACCCTAAACCCTAAACCCTAAATCCTAATTATAGAGGCCCCGACGTTGCCACACCTAAGGCCCCCCCAGCCTCTGCTCGTCCACGTGCCCTTGCCAGCGAATCAGGTCGCCGTCGATATCCTGAGAGGGTTTAGGGTTTAGGGTTTAGGGTTTAGGGAAGGTGTTGGCTTTTACCTGGACCCCAAAACGTAACGTATGCAGAATAACGGCCGTTTAGCACGGATAGAAGTTTATGCATCTATCGCATCAAAATGGCTTCGGGGTTGAGGGTTTCCATGGGATCTTTGAGGGTTCTATGATAAGTTCTACGGGGGATCTTTGGCTTCTCTAATCGTTCTTGAGGTTTCTTTATAGGGTTGAGAGCCCTTTTTGGGAGGGTTTGGGGCTTAGGGCTGCGTTTTTTCCGTGCTTTTAAGAGGCTTCTTGGAGTTCTATGGTCTAGGTTTAGGGTTTAGGGTTTAGGGTTTAGGGTTTAGGGTTTAGGGTTTAGGGGGCTTGCGCAATGCCAGAGAAACCCCCCTAAACGCGGCGCTGCTGTTGTTGCGGTCGCAGCTGTCCTTTTCCACCTGCTTCTTTACCCGGCCGAGGCGAGGGCTGGCCCATGAAACTCAAGGTCGATCCAAGCATCTAGTGCCAGACAAGGAGCCAAAGGGGACAATCCCTGCAGCACAGAGTTGTGTGTGCAGAGTCTGCAACTGGCACCAGACTTGCCTTTGGGCTTGTAATGCAGCAATTCTTGGCGTGCTCGCTTGGGGTGCAGACCTGTGGACCCAAAACCCTAAACCCCAAAATTTAGGGGTTTAGGGTTGAGGGTCTAGGGGTTTAGGGTGTAGGGGTTCAG